AAATCTGCAGCATCTTTTGTCCACGGGCGGATTTAGGGGCGGAAGGGCCTTCGCCGAAAAATTACACGGTATATATAAGGTAAAATCTGATTTTTACTTCTGTATATTTGTTTTGAATCCCCTTTATACCGCCCAAAAGCATAGCTTAGTGGTCAAGGGGGTTCAAAACTTTTGTAAGATCATTGGTTCAATTCCCACTAATTACAATTTTTTAACTTTTTCTGTTTTTGAACCCCTTAGCGAAAATCCTGCCTCCGCCGTTACTTTTGTCTTGCCATATCAAACCATACAATGACCAACTTATTCTTCTAAGCTAATCTATTTTTCCCTTCTACTCATGGAGAGTTAAGCGCACTCACGAATGGTATAAATACGACACTTGCTTTGGCATTGCTCATATCAGTGGACAGTGGCTTATATCTATGTGGATCTTACCAAAAAAGATTAAGTTATTTCAGAAAATATATTCAATTAATCCCATCTCTTTTACCCATTAACATCTTAAAAGTTTTCATAAAACTTTTATCACTTAGTTTTGAACTTTTTGGGACTTAGCGCAAGAAAAGTGATTACTAGCAACTGAAAAACTAGTCCCTAAAAATCTGATTCATGGGTCCATAGCGACCAAAATATTTTGTCGCTACATATGTTGTAGGCTCCGCTACTAGAAGTCAATATCGACAAGGTTCAAATAACTGGTTCCTCAAGCCCAGTGAAATTCTACTAGTGGGGTCTGGAGAGGGCAGTGTGTAAGCAGACCTTACCCCTATCTCGAGCGATAGAGAGGTTGTTTTCGATAGACCCTCGGCTGAAGAAGACGAAAAGAGACAGTATATCAATACCATCAATAAACCTTAGAAAGCAATAACAGCATCACAAGAACATGGACGAAAAGCAAAACAATAATTAGTAGATAAAGCTCTGCAGATTTTTAAGAACACGTTTTTTTCAACCCTAAAAAGCCTTTAAGGACAAAAACTAAGGTGGCAGGGCATGAGCATTATTGATCCCTAAATTGTCTATTTTAAGCTATAAGAAAATTGCTTTCTAGCATTCCACGTTTAGTAATGAATTAATATTCCTTGTCCCTACCATATGAGCATGATTGTCAGCTAGTAGATACCTTATAGAATTAGTCGATATATAACTGGCTCAAATATTATAATTCTAAACAAATAAATAAATAGAATTAAATGCTTTAAAGGTTAACAAATTAAGATACTATAAAATTATTTGTCAAATGTTATCTTGATGCCATAGTGTTTTTTTTCTCTTTAAATTGTGGTAAATATCTTAGTGGTAATGATACAACACTATCCTCCCCAAACTTCACTTGTGGGATTATACTAGGTTGTTGTTATTGTTGTTGTTGTTTATCTTAGTCGTAATGATAGTTTAATTGTGATGTATCTCTATGTGTCTGGGTTATTTTCACCTGTCAGTTTTACTTGTCATGTTTGGCTTTTTCACACTTCTTATGAAAACGTTGAATAAAAAGGTTGAACAAAAGGATAATTTGACTAAATTGTTCTCATTTATTCTTTTATCTCAATTTATTACTATTCTTGCTTTCATTATATTAATCTCTCTCCACTTTTATCCGAGTAAGTTAAAGGTGAACAAAAAAATTAATTCTTTTTTAATTTACGAAAATAACAAATATCTTGGACCAATTATTTTTAATAACTATGACCATTAAGAAAGATCGGAGCGAGTAATTTGTTGTTAATATATAAGGGAGCTCTTGCGCACAAGTATGCTTTCTGTTTTATATGGCACCATTTTTAGAGGTGTGTATTTCAACCAGCTATGCAGAGTTGTTTATGTTTATATATATATATATACACCAAAGCGCACTACCACCAATACATTTGACAATAATGTGCTTTTCAATAATTTTACCGGTAATAAAGGCGCAGCTCGGTGCACAAAGTATTTTGTATTCACACGGAAGAAGGGCTGCACCCTAATCAAGTGTTAATGGCTGCTTCCACGACTTGAACTGTTGACCTATAGATAACTTTAATGTTGCTCCGAGACCCCTAATATCTTGAGCAATTGCTGCTGTGTGATAACTAAGCTCAAAGAAAGTGGTTTGTACACTTGGAAGATCTATGGTGGTGTGCCCATTGGTCTGAGCATGTCACTACCAAACAGTCACTTTTGTGTCATTTTATTTAGATGTTGGCCACATTTTTCAACATTAGACCAGTTATCTGAAATTCGAAAGTGGCCATACACGGTTTGAAAATTCAACATTCAAAGCCAATAATCAGACCACAATTTTAATTTTAAAAATGTGACCAATTTCTAAGTATAAGGCCACAGAAGTAATCACCAGCTGTAATAAAGCACTATCGACTATGTTGTGGTCTCCGCCCTTATTAGTAGTAGCGACCACCAAGTAACTTCCAGCTAAAAAAAAATGGATAAGTTATCCGATTCGACCCATATTTAATACGGATAAAAAATGGGTTAACCGGCGGATAATATGGATAATTATATTATTCATAACTTCTTGCATATAATCACTTTTGGAAGAATTCTTGTTCTCCCAAACTTGAGGAACCTCTAATTTGAGATTTTACAAATGTAAAAGTTAAACCCAATAGTTATCTATTGGTTATCCGTTTTCTTAATGGATAATATGGTTCTTATCCATATTCGACCCGTTTTTTAAAAGTTTATTATCTAACCCATTTTTTAGTATGGATGGTTAACTATTTTCTTTTAACCATTTTGCCACTACTAGGCATGAGCATGATTGTCACCTAGTAGATACCTTATGGAATTAGTCGAGATATGAACAAACTGGCTCAAACAATATAATTCTAAACAAATTAAACAAATAAATAAATAGAATTTAACGCTTTAAAGGTTAAAAAATTAAGATACTATAAAATTATTTGTCAAATGTTATCTTCATGCCACGGTGTTTTTTTCTCTTTAAATTGTGGTGGATATCTTAGTGGTAATGATAGTTAAATTGTGATGTATCTCTATGTGTTTATTTTTACCTGTCCGTTTTACTTAGGAATTTTTGGCTTTTGCACACTCCTTATGAAAACGTTGAATAAAAGGATAATTTGACTAATTGTTCTTGTTTGTTATTTGATCTCAATTTATTACTATTTTTGCTTTCACTATATTAATCTCTCTCCACTTTTATCCGAGTAAGTTAAAGGTGAATAAAAAAATTAATTCTTTTTTAATCTACGAAAATAACAAATATCTTGGACCAATTATTTTTATTAACTATGACCATTTTCAGAAGTGTGTATTTCAACCAGCTATGCAGAGTTGTTTATACTTTTTATATTGTACAAAAGTGCACTACCACCAAAACATTTGACAATAGTGTGCTTTCCAATAATTTTACAGTTAATAAAGCGCAGCTTGATACACAAAGTATTTCGTATTTACCCAGGGTTTAAGGAAGGGCCGCACCTTAAGGGTGTGATGTAGACAGCCTACCCTAATACAAGCGTTAGTGGCTGCTTCCACGACTCGAACCGCTGACCTATAAACAACTTTAGTGTTGCTCCGAAACTCCCCTAATATAACTAAGCTCAATAATAGTGGTTTGTACACTTGGAAGATCTGTGGTGTTGTGCCCATTCGTCTGAGCATGTTAAGCGTTAACACTACCAAACAGTCACTTTTGTGTCATTTTATTCAGAGGTTGGCCACATTTTACAACATTAGACCAGTTATCTGAATTTCGAAAGTGGCCATACACGGTTTGAAAATTCAACATTCAAAGACAATAATCAGACCACAATTTTAATTTTAAAAATGTGACCAATTTCTACATATAAGGCCACAGAAGTAATCACCAGCTGTAATAAAGCACTATCGACTATGTTGCAGTCTCCGCCCTTATAGTAGTAGCGAACACAAGTAACTTCGTGTTGTAAAATGACAGACAGGTAATAAAACATCATATGTACGAAGAAAGTGCAACTCAAATAGAACTTTATCTGGAAAAAAGTAGAAGTGCCCAGTTGGATCATTAATTCGTAGATGGATAACCTCTAGAAAGGATCTCCCTTTAAAGGAAAATAAATACCGTTGTACCTACACTCGGACTAGAGCCCTTATTCTAGGTCGATCTACCACCAATATATTCTACATAAACTTGGCTCCAACACTGGAACGAACCTGCTGTGAGAGATTTATTAACCCAGAACAAAGGGCTCTTGGTGAGCCTAGTGGAAAAGTAGAGTTAATTTCTGAAGAGATTGTTTGATTGGGAAACAAGTTATTCCATGATTAATTATTTCGAGATTAGTTATCCCACCCTCTCACGGGGATAAAAGAATATTACAATACCTCGATAACTAAACCCGAAATTAGTTATACCACGATTTTATCCCAACCAAACATGGGATAAATTCATCTCAAATTTAATCCCGTGATTAATTATCCATTATCCCTCGTAGTGATATCAAAGGAGAAAAGCGCAAAAAAAGCTCTACTCTAAGGTCCGTTGGGGCTTTAAGCGCAAAGCGCAAATAAAGGGTGAGCTTTAACGAAAAAAGGCGTAACTGGAGAAAAAGTAAAAATATGTATATGTAGTCCAATGCTAATAATTATAAGCATGAATAACAAATATATGACAAAGAAATTGGAAAACAATTACGATAAAGTGAAATATAAATTATTTAATATCGCCTTTTCATGATTACACTCATTGTCAAGGAATATTATGCCTTGGAGCCTTGATGAGATACTAAAGCACCCTCAAAGCGAGGCGAAACGCTCAACATATTTTGAGCCTTGCTTTAGGGCTTAAGCGCCTCTTTGACAACACTGAACCCTCGTACCAAACGAGCCCTAAACGGTGACTCAAGTTCCTGTAATTAAACAGTAAACTCACTTATGGAGATTGTGGGTCTTCTTGGAGATCATGAAAAATTAGGTTCAGTAAATTTTCAAGTAAAAGATAACATTTTAAAGCATAGAGCACAACCAATATGCATTCTACCAACCAATGAAGCTACAGTGACTATCATGCAGGCATTTTCAACATTAAAGAATTTAACAAAACTTGAGGAGTTTATTGCCTTTATCTTCCAAATATCCTACAAAATGACAATAATATGGCAACAACAAGAATGACCTGGACATCTGCATCTGTTTCTTGAATAGTTGTTTTTTAAATGCTATCTCTTTCTTTCTGCCCGAAAGACTTCTTCAATCCAGCTTCACTGAAGAGAACAAGTAATGTACAAACCAGAAAGAGGAAAGGAACCCGACTGTGCCTGTCGCGAGCATGATGGCCAAGACCATGAAGAGGGAATATCCGAGGTAAAGGGTGGCGGAAACAGGGCCGCTCAAACTCTTAAGATCGAAGATTAGATAGTTAACGGAGTACAGGAAAATGTATATAGCAACTGATCCAGAAGCAAAGAAAGATTTCCACCACCATTTCCAGTCCTCCACACAAAGATGCATGTAGGTCAGAACAAGAGACACCTCGGCACAAACGACGACAAGGAGGATCATGACAATGAGGAGGAAACCAAAGACATAGTATACACGACCCATCCAAAGACTCGACATGATGAAGAAGAGCTCGATGAAAAGAGTACCGAAAGGAAGGGTACCTGCACCCAAAACTAAGAGCCAGGATGGATACTTTTGTGGGGGGATTTCACGCGGGATTTGGTTGGTTCGGACAGGATATTCAATGTGAGGAGCCCTCGCCCCAAAATAACCACCGAGCAGGGTTAGAGGAACTGAAATGCAGAACCAAAGTAAAATGAGGACGACAAACAGAGAAAATGGAATGGCCCCTGTGCTGTGACTACCCCATAGCAGGAAGTTCAATGTGGTTAGAATGAAAAAAGCAATTCCGGGGAAGAAACAAGCAGCTTTCCATGAAACTGAAACCCAGCCCTTGTGATTGCCACAGAAGATTGTCCTCCAAAGACGAACAGCAACATAACCAGCTACAACCCCAAGAATCATATAGAAGAATAGCATGCCTGTAATCAACGTTCCACGAGAAGCTGGGGACATAAATCCGAGGGCAGCAAACATGATAGTCACAACACCCATCCCTAGGATTTGAACTCCGTCACCAACCATCACACACAAAAGTGCTGGATTACTTGGAGACCTGAAAACATCACTCACTACGAGTTTCCAACCGGATAACTCCTCGTTCATTTGGGCTTGAGCCTCTTTGTCGAGTTCCTCATACCTAGTCAGATCCCGCCTGACGGTTCTCAAGAAGATTACGAGCACGATTCCAGCCAAGAAAGTGATCACCATAAGTGAGTTAAGGATAGAGAACCAGTGCACCTTTGCACCTTCCATCTTCAAATAAGCATCCCATCTTGACGGCCACTTGATATCACTTTCCACAAAGTTCACCTCATAAGTAAAAGACACAGGCTCATTTTCTTTAATAGCCATGGCGACTGTTGTAGGATCGCACTTAATTGGAGTCGGGTACTTATTGTACAGTTTCAAGTTCTTGGCTGAATCAGGGGTATGCTGGACACTACAAGGAACAACCTCAAACCCAACAACTTCGTAACCAGGTGCCTCCGATCCACCATTTCCAATCGTCGAGATCACCTCAGCTGCATCCCCAGTACCCATCACCCGAGCCACATTGGTCTCCTCATACTTATGAACAAGAACAGTAAACTTCAAGTGATTAAACACATAATATGTATCTTGAATCTTAATCCCAACAGGATAACCCGTCCACCTCAAGAAATAACCTTCCTTCCTCGTATAACGAATAGCAGGCAAATTATCAAGAATCAAATTCACTTGATACATCTCATCAATCCTCTTCTTTAAAAGCTTAAACTCCTCACCAGACAAAGGTTTAGTTTGACACAAGAAAATCTCGGTCTCATTCGTATACATCTTAAACCTATAAGGAGAATTCTCAATCCTATCACCCATAAGAAGCTCACCAAGATTCTCAGCACTATCTTTAATACCCTCTAATGGTTTACAAAAAGGCAAGCTATAGTAACTATAAGGCAACTCAGTGTCAATTGAGGTCAATGAATTGACTTTAACATTCAAGAAATCACCAACCCCATATTTGTGAGGGTAACTACCAGGCAGATAAAACCCATGACCCAATTCAAATACCAAGCAGATTAACAAAACACAAATCTTGAATTTGTCTAAAGATCTCATTTTTAGTTGTTTCTTGATCAGATCTGTAGGTAAAATGGCAAGATCAAGTTTTCAAGTGGGGTTTTACACAAGATTCAAGATTCAGTCTTATAAACAAGAACATTTACAGAAAAAGAAAATGATAAGGAATATTAAAGGTTTAGATGAAAAATGCAGAGATCTAACTCACCTCCAAAAGGGTTTCTGAGCAGAGATTGTGGAGCGACAGAAGAAGAAGAGATCTGTAAGTCAAGAATTTATATGAGCAGAGATTGAGGGCCCACTTGTAAAATGACTGACCTATGTCCTAATCAATAAAATGAAGATTCCAGTCATCTAGTGGGCATTTGGACATTATATTGTTTGTAAATATAAATAAATAAACAAAATTATTCATAAAACAATATTTGGACAAATTACATTTAATATTATAAACTTCAACTAAGTTAAATTTATATTCAAATACAATTTCAATTTCTAAATAATTGTCTGTAACTGCAACTTTGGAAAATTGCTTTTTTTTTTCAATTTAGCTAAATATTAACTGTTGAAAAAGAAAAACATAGCTAAATATTATATTGACCATATACAATAACAACAACAACCCAGTAAATAAATACATAAAATTATTCACAAAACAATATTTTCATTTACAAATTAGATTTAATATTATTTAAATTTCAACTTAAATTTATATTCAAATACAATTTCAATTTCTAAATAATTGTTTGTAACTGCAACTTTGGAAAATTGTTTTTTTTTCTTCAATTTCAGCTAAATATCAACTGCTGAAAAAGAAAAACAAAGCTAAATATTGTATTGATCATATACAACAATAACAACAACCCAGTAAAATCTCACTAGTGGGATTTGGAGAGGGTAGAATGTACGCAGACCTTACCCCTACTCCGAAGGGGATAGAGAGGCTATTTTCGGGAGACCCTCGGCTTAGAGACAATAAATCTGTGACAACAAAACCCGAAAAATAATATCAGCAACGTGAGAGACAACAAATAAATGGAAAAGCAACAAATATTATGTAAAAGTGTGAAACACAACATAAATCACTAGCAGGGCTAGATAAAACACTATCACACTCGTCGGTATAAAGAGGGAAACCGAGACAAAGGGGAAAACCGCTCGACTACCCTTAACCTGCAACCCTAATGCTCGACATCCACACCTTCCTATCAAGAGCCATGTCCTCGGAAATCTGGAGCCGCACCATGTCCTGTCTGATCATCTCGGCCCAATACTTCTTAGGCCGCCCTCTACCTCTTCTCGTACCTGCTAAAGCCAACCGCTCACACCTCCTAACCGGGGCATCTAGGCTTCTCCTCTGCACGTGCCCGAACCATATAAGTCGCGCTTCCTGCATCTTGTCGTCCACTGGAGTCATGCCCACTCTCTCCCGAATATCTTCATTCCTAATCTTATCCAGCCTAGTGTGCCCACACATCAATCTCAACATCCTCATTTCTGTTATTTTCATCTTCTGAATGTGATAAAATTATTGACCATGTAGATATGTCTTATTTGATGTGATAAAATTATCTAGACAGAAATAGGCCCCTAGAGGAGGGAAAACCATGTAAAATATGTGGGGAACTTGGATGGTATTGAAATGTTGTATATAAGTGAGGTGGCAAAGAATTGCAATCACTAAACTGTAAGTTTTATTTTAAAAGTTTTCATTTGTTTATATTTCAAAGACAATTAGATAAGATTAAAAAATAACCACATTCGCTAGAAGATACAAGTAGCATGTATGGAGGATAAAATGAGAAAATGTCACTTGATATGGTTTGATCATATCATGCGTCGACCTACAGATACATCGATTTATAAATATGAAAATATGGTGAATGAGGTATTAAAAAGGGACGAGGTAGACCCTAAAATCACATGAAAATAAATTATCTATAAAAAAATACAAATCCTTGAAATCAATGTTGGCTTAGCCATATTGATAGAGCACAATGGAAGAGAAAGATCCATATATGCAATATTCACTAGTTGGATAGACTTGGTAGAGACTTTCAAATTTCAATATTATTATTATTATTCACGTTCACTTTTTTTAATTTTGATTATGATGATGATATGAGTTGAGCTTAATGAAAGATACGAGGATTCTTATTGTCGACCCTAACTTGTTTGGGATTGAGACATTATTGTTGTTTATCTTCCACACTCTCATTTTCTCTAATCATATTCATAATTACTTAATGTGTTATGAATACATTGAATGTGTATTCCTAAATATTCTTATGCATTGTATCATCCAAATCTTAAATACGTCACTTATGCTCTTGTAACTTTCGCATCCATATAAATAGAATATTTTTGATCCTGTAAAAGAAACAAATAAGTGAGATTACTACAAGTAAAGTTTCAAAGATAATTGACTTTTGGCGTAAAAATTTGGGAGGCGTAAAAAGGAAATACGACAGACACATGAATTGAAATAAACTAAACGGAATGCTGCTTAGATATTGCAATAGCTCGATTTTGATTGTTTATCCTTTCCTGCGCTTGTTTTGTGTTTAAATAGCTATACTATATTATTAAAAGCACGAAGACCCTTAGCGAAATGTCGTTCGCCTTTTTTGCCCTTTAAAAATAGAGTTCACAATGAATAAAATAGTCATTTTATTAATTTTCTAATATTTAGGATTTTAAAATCAACTAAAACTTTAGTTATTATAATAGGAAATCCCAATATTTAAGATATTAAAATCAACTAAAATTTTCCTTTTATAATTTAAAATCCTAATATTTAGGACCAAATATAAGAACTAATTCTGACATTGAAATACGTTTTAGGAATTCAAATTTCAAAGTATTAATGTCCCGCCACTAAGCATTAAATTGGGATTCTAGACATTAAAGGCAAAAAAAAATGAGACCAACTATTACTACTTTTTAATTTGAAGAAAAAAACTACTATTATTAATTCTTCTTTTTATTTCTAAGTACTATCGATATTCTAAAAGTCAAGCTAGATGAGAATTAGAGTTAAAATAAGCCAATATATAATTAATATAAGGGAATTAATTTCTACTCCCTCCATCTCAAAAGTTATTTATCGTAATTCTAAAAATAGATATTTCAAATTATTTGTCATTTTAAAAGTAATTCAAACTAATTTGTTTTTGTTATATTCTTAGTAGTAATTGTTCTTGAAGATGGAGATGATACATAAATTAAGTAAATGTTCAACGAAGAGATATTTATTTATGACATAATAAGGGTTAAATAGTTAAAAAAATCCTTTGAAATAATATTTTCTTTAGGTGTTTGTAATAGAAATACGATAAATAGTTTAAGACAAAGGATATATTTATTAGTAATCAAGGGCATTTAAATAGGTAAAAAATGGTGAACTTATTAGTTATATGAAACATTTATTTTAACAACAAGAACGTAACTCCAATCAAACAAATAATTGATCAATGTCAGAAATCATATCAATTGGTAAATAAAACGATTACATTTACAGATGTTAGTACTGAAGTTGCACTAATCAATAAACTCATGAGTTTACTAGCAAAATTAA